GAGGCTGGAAGTCGTCAAGTCTGCGCGCGAGACGATTCGTAATGACTCTCGAAAATAGCACGTAGACGCGGCTCAGAAGGGAAATCGGTCTGTAGTTCTTCAAGAAAGCGTTGTCGCCTTTCTTGAAGAACAAGACCACCGCACTTCTGCTCCACGCCTCCGGTGTAATGCCACCATGGAGGACGGAATTAAAGAGCTTCTGAAGGACTTCAAGTACCGGTTTTCCACCCGCTTTCAGAAGCTCCGCTGTAATTCCATCCTCGCCTGGGGCCTTGCCGTTTTTAAGGTGCTGGAGAGCCATTCTAATCTCGCTCAGACTGACGTCCGGGATATCATCGGAATAATGTCGGATAAGACTCGCTCTTGGATCGTTACTCACACTTGCGTGCGGCTCCAACGATGACGTGTACAGCTGCCCATAGAACCTCTCAATCTCACTCAAAATCTCAGGTGCCCCGGAAACGATGCTGCCACATTCTGTCTTCAGCTTTGACAGTTGGCGCTTTCTGGCAGACAGATCTCTGGCAAAGACTTTGGAGCCTTGGTTCCGCATGTTTTTGGTTTGGTGGCTTGGTTCAGCAATATAACATCATTGATTACTAATCAAATTTTTAAAGAGGGTTGCAAAAAGAACAATGGTATGAATTGAAAATTGTGCTATTTTGTATATCAATGGCTATTGCGCATTCGATTGTCGATTTAGTAGTTGCTCACCACGATTATTCGAATAACAATTGCCAAACTACTGACTGCATATTTAATGTAAATACGTATTTTTTGATCGGGTTTGGCACAAAGCGCTTCTTTCGAAGCTCCTTTCCTATGGTTTTCCCGAGAAATTGTGCAACTGGATCACCAGCTTTCTTGCAGATCGGAGTATCAAGGTCGTTCGTAGACGGTGCATGCTCCGACTACAAGCCTATTAATGCCGGTGTTCCACAAGGCTGCGTGCAATCACTAACACTGTTTCAAAGCATATGTTGCAAAGCGGTAACATTCATTGCTATGCGGATGACAGTACTGGTGATGCTCTATTCACCGGCCGTGCCAGTATTTCTCGGGAAAACGACGCCGAGTGCTGTAACAAACTTGTGTCTGTAGTCGAGTCTTTGCTAAACATGTCTCGGATTAGGGGCCACTAAATCTAGTCCATTTTAATCCTCAAAAGACACAAGTTCACGCGTTTACCGCTAAAAATAACCCCTTTGTCGTATCTCCTCAGTTTTAAGGCACTCCCCTTATTGCCTCAGTCAGTATCAGAATCCTCGGCGTTGACATATCGAGTGACGTGCAGTTTCGTGGTCACTTGGAAGGGAAGGCCAAATTGATCTCTAAAAAGCTTCGCATGCTCAGCAGAGTAGGACAGTATTTCATGCCGGCACACCGTCTGCAACTTTAGAAGGCGCAGGTTCAGCCTCTCATCTAATACTTTTCTCATGATTGGGTTGGGGCTCCCCAGTGCCAGCTCCTTCCACTTAACCGCATCCAGCGCAGATCGGCTCGAATCGTCAACGAACGAGTCCTTACCGATCGGCTCGATTCACTGGCGCTGCGAAGAGATGTTGCATCCCCTTGCATTTTCTTTCGCATTTACGTACCACGGGGAATGTTCCGACTTATTATTCGGATTAATCCCAGCTGCCAAATTTCACGAACGCACATTGCGGCACAACTCCTGATACCATCCACACCATGTGGATAATTGGTGGTCCACCACTGTATGTTCTACTAGGAGTTTTCTTACGCGTACAACCTCTCTGTGGCATAATTTATGTTTTTAATAAATAAAGATTTTTGATAAAAAAACTAATCTATTTATTCGTAAGAAAATATATATATTTATTCATATATAAATACTGTTTTTCACAATAATAATATGGCATTATTAGATAATCACTTATTATTTAAGTAAGAAATGAACAAAAAACATTTATTTACATTGTAAGTCTTACAACTCTAACTTGTACAAACATTTGAGCAAACAAATTCAATGGGAGCTTTGGCTTTGTATGTTTATTCAAGTAGAAAATTTCAACTTTACTAAACAGTGTAGCTTTTACTCAAAAATAAAAACCAATAACAAACATTTAAGCAAACAAATTCAATGGGAGCGTTGGCTATGCATGTTTTTAGAAAATTTGGATAAATTTGGCTCATAACTTGTTGTTTTAAGTATACACAACTCTGAATTTTCATTTGTTAGTTGGCTTTTTACTTTACCTTTAATTATATTCATGCAAGAGAACGCTTCTTCACATGGATATGTCAATCCGAAGATAGTCAGCACTGCAAATGCCAACTTCTTCACCTTACTATAGCAAACTGGAAGAATATTCCATGCGCCGAATATAAGTGCCTCAAATTGCGGCATTTCTTTTAAAGCTGTTCATTTATGTTGCGTTATGTACATACATTTCTGGACCTCCAACTCTTTCAACTTGCTTTTCAACTCTGTAAATTTTCAACTCCACAAAGCTTTACTTTTTAAATCGATCAATTTCATTTCTAGAGATTCAGTATCAACTTCAAATGGCTCAGTGTGTGTGGATTGATTTTTAAATGTTTTTTTTTTATAAAGTAATTAATATTTTCGTATGAAACTAAAGAGCCATAGCTTCACATCCAAAGAGCCGCCATAGAAAGATAAAGTTGGCTCATAGATAAATGTAAGTAAATAATTGTTTTTTTTTTGTTTACTTTTTTTTACTGGTTCATACGAATTATTCTTTGTTTTGTTTAACAACTTGATTTGAGAAGAGCATTTTTTTTATAGGATAGGGTGACAAACGAGCACACAGTCCACATGATGGTAAGTGGTGGCCAATAAAGAATTAAAATGCAGATGCGTCGTCACCCGTGAGGACTAAGATGGAATGCCTCTTTTCCAGTAAAATGGGTCTCCGGTTCTCTACACTCACCATACGAAACACAGCAGTGTCAAGCTGCTATTTTACGCTGGTATTCTGTGAGAGCGTGGTCCTTCCCCGGTTGAGCCGACCCATTCGTGCTACAACTATACTACTAATATAGCTGCAGCATGGCTCTACCACGTATAAATTTTAAATTTGGTTTTACTTAATACAGTCGTCATTATCATTATCATCACCAATCTTGTATTGGACAATACCTTCCTAATTAAGTCCCTACTCCATCGGTATGAAGTAGAATTAGATACATTATTTAATTACCTAGTTACACATTGATCAATTTCATACCCATGACTACGTGTAGTTAAGATATGTTGTGAAAATATAAATCGAATAATTATAACTTATTTACTTAATTCTTTTTTTAGTGTTTCGTCTTACTTATTTAGAAATTCATTACTTACCCACCCATCTATTCATTTTTAAGTTATAAGGCCTTTATAAGGGATAAGGCCTTTAGGAGATGCTTCCAATTCGAGAACTGAAGCAAGACTTAATTTTCTTCACCGATTGTTCGGCTTTTATACCTTTCTAGAGAGAACGGAGAAATTATTTAAATTAAACGCAAATTTTTTGTAAATGGTCAAGAGAAAAGAGTATTTATGTGGAATTATCGAAATAGAAACAACAGACCGGTAGCAAATTTGAATATAATTGCTATGGAGACCAAATAAACAACAATGTCAAAACATGTCAAATTTTGGTTTTAGGCTTGTAATAAGAAAACGGCAAGATTTAAGTGGAAAATGAGATATTATTGATATAGGAAAAAAGGTAGCGCAACTGCCCACACAAAGCCCGAGATTGTAGAGTTACGGAAAACTAACTAAAAGATCAAAAAAGGGTAGACTCCATTGACACCAATTTAAAAGTGCTGATAATGTGAAAATACGAAGTAGAAATGATTTGTTATTGTGTTCTTATGGTTTAAAATCGCTACAGGATCCTATGGAAATAAAGATGATGTAAAATATCCAGTTTTGAAGTGAATGCAGAAAATCGAAACAGAATGGAAAAATGAATTTAAAATAATGCAAAATGATAAGTAAGTAGCATAACACTACACACCGTACATAGGATAAATGAATGGATGTTTACAATACAAGACAAACCATTGAATAATCTATTGACTTCAATCGCATACCTAATTTACTGCAGTCGTAACGTAAGTAGTGGCGCACAGACTTAGCGCAGCGCACGCCCGCACCCCTTCTTTTGTAACTACTTATTTCGTAGTACGTATAATAGATGCGTTGCGCTCGTTGACACGGTAACTGTGTCAGTCATTGTCACCCACCGCTCGCGGTTAGTCGATAACAATCAGTTAACATGGATTGTTATCGAATTTTATCGATTAAACTGAACAATCGATTAATTCAATTAGTTTTAGTAATAATCGCCCATCGCTAGTTATATTATATTAAAAGTCCTAATCATAGACAATATACTGGTATATAGACGACGTAGAGGGAGTATGTACAATAGAGTAGTCCTTGCCGTATACCTAAGCGGGATAGCAATAGTTTAAGGTTAGTGTTGCCGATGATTCTCTATTTTTATTTTCTTGATTTTTGGGAAAAGTAAATTCTGTTTACTAATTATAGGTAGAATCAATACACAGTGTTTCAAAAATATGTAAGTAATTCATTAACCTCCCAAGATATATCTTATTAGGTTAATAGTAGTTCATTAACTTCCTAAGATATATATTAAAAGGTTAATATACTAAATTGAAAAATAAAACGAATTTTTTTATTATATTTTAACCGCTTTATTTTGCGTTTTGTCTTTTCCTTGTTATTATAATCAGTTTTTTTATATAATTATTTGCTATGTATAACAGATTACGCAAAAACACACAAAAAACTATAATATACTTGAAATTAAATAGTTTAAGAAACTTACCTTTGGATATATTATTATCTACCGATTTTTTTATCAGTAGATAATAATATATCCACAGGTATGTATTCAATTTCGAATGAAACAACAGAAATAATACAAAATATGTATGTGAATATTATTTAAATAAAACAAATAAATGAAACAGCACTAGGAAATTTTTGTACTTCTTTACAGTTTTCGGTTTGGTAACGCATGCTTGGAAACTAAAGGATTATAAGTAAATATTTTTTCATCCTGTTCAGAGTCTGTAACCCTAAAAAAGAACGGACAAGAAACTTTAGGGAACTGTTTACAATCAGTTACATGTTTATTATTGCAAACATTTATAATTTTTACGAACAAACGAAAAGCGATGAGGTCAGCAACAGCCTTTTCAGAATTATAATCGGGCAGCCATTTTGTCACCGAGAGCCTTTTATACATGAGACGTTTGTACGACGTCTGTTTCTTGAAACGGTTTTTGGACGGAGACGACATTATTTATTGCTTCTTACCTGAGAATAAAGAGACAATTTTTGAATACTCAATGTAAAAAAAAAATATTTTTGTATAATACTAGCGCCCCGCCCCGGCTTCGCACGGGTGATTTCTGGATCTCGACAACAGGCAGCGAGCGGTTATTTCCCTTACAAACTAGACCCAAATAGAGCCGAAAAACTAGCGTTTTTGCATCACAATCTTCCTCTCTTAAATTTTAAATATTAGTAATAATAATTTCTATTATAGATTCTTATGTAAGTTCTAAATATTTCTGCTGCTTCTCATGTTCCTGGTGTTTTAATATAATGATAATGTCTAATATAATGATAATGATAAAAACTGGCTTTTGTCTATTTTTCTCTGGGATATAATTAAGGCCGAGTACTCGGCCGTTAATATTCGGTATTCGGCCGAACCCTAAAAAAGTACGAATCCGCCGAGTACCGAATCCAAACCGAGTACTCGTCCCATGTCTAGTATGTACACAGATATCATTTAAATTGATAAAGATAAATATTTAAATGTTTCTACATTAACAATAAGTACTTACCTCCAGTCTCCATTCTACATATTTTGGCATGTTAATAGTTTTGGCATGTTAAGTGGGTCCAGAAAATTAATATTGTACCTACTCAGTTATTCATCAATTACTCTTACATCAGTTACTCGATTTTAGTATAACTATGAGCATTATTACCAACTAATAATGAAACCGTGCGGTAATTTCTTAAATTAAAAATATCCCTCTAAATTCAATATTACAACAATAGTTATCAACATAAATTCAAAATAGGTTACTCACTGGAATAAAAAGTGTTGGAATCTCATTCGGCAACAAATATGTCCTCTTGTGCGTTTTACGAAAATAACGCGTCTCAAAATGTTTCATACCTATGCGGTCATTCTTCTCAGGTTGCCATTCCTTTCTCCCAGTAGCTACAATCCACATGTTTATAATGTTTGCTTCTTTAGGAATTCTAAAATAAATAAACTATATTGGAATTAAATTAAGGTTAAAAAATATTTTGATAGAGAAATAAAAAACGGGGACATGGAGTACATAATGGCTGCTTTATTTTTCTTATAAGTATTACCTTTGATAGTTACAAACATTTAATAATTAGTAATTAAATACATTATAGAAGTGTATTTTAACATTCAACTTAAATATGAATGTAATTTTTATAATTTAAGTAAGGAAACTTGGAGGAATCAGTTACATAAGATTGCTCTCTTTAAAGGCCAATATGTTTATGATGCTTCATCATGCTTTATGTTTGTATTTTTTCATCTGTCCCTGAAACGTATAAAGTAATAATAAACTAATTATCATTTTAGCTGCATGAAAAACATAATGATCTTAACATAGTAAAGTGCACTAAGTGTCTGAGGATAGGATATGCACATTCTATTCTCTCAGTCTCGGTATGTTAACAATATCGTCACTCATCAGGTCATTCATTCGTAGTGTTTCTATATAGTTTGTGCATTCATTGGATTGACCACAGCAAGTGTAACTTAATCTCACAGATTTATTAATTCGCACAGCTATTATTTAACCACTATCGCGCGTATCTAGTGCTAAACTGAGTATTAAGTAATATATCAACGTTTCCTAATGTATTGTCGACACAAAGTGTTACTCAATGGGAAGGAACTGACTCCTGAAATACAGGGTATCCTAGTTTAGGAGACAGGGCTCAATGAGGTTGTATGAAATAAAAGTGTCAAATAAAGATATTTATTTATTTAATTTATATCTCGGTATATATATTATATGGGATATAATATTATATCCCATAGTGAATAGCGAGCTAAATATAATCAGAGGCCAAGACCATAGATAAATAAAAAAGACGATAAAATAACACCATAGATAAATAAATATGTAGCAAGCTGTAGAATAATACAGAGCACTGTTATAGTGCCACCAACTTATCTGTGAACTGACAGCTTGGCGCTTCTGCGTTAAAGTGTTGCCAGTTCGGGAATATTCCCATCTAAGAATCTTATATTCCTACATAGAGACCACATATTATATAGGGTAAGAAATTAGTCACGGAATAAAAAGACTAGAACACAGTTTTAACAGATATATGTCCAAGAGTTGGAAGAAACAAAAATATCATAATTGAACTATTTAAACTTTTTCTTCTGTCTAATTCTAAGTTTTAAAGGTATGCGTGCGTACTGAAGCATTAATACATAATAACAGAGACGATACTCAAAGAAAGATTTATTCAAAACCTGGTTTACAATATGTATGTTTAAATGATTTTGATGAAGTAGAAGGTGATATAGAAACTTCATAGTCATGGTCAAGTGGTTGTACCCCCAGTATATTTACGAAGAGATTCGCGATGACCTTTGTAATCTATTTAGTTTTTAATAGACTCAAAAGTTTAGGAATCGTTGGTAATTCTTTTTTCACTGAGTAAAATTCGTGAATTTGAATTTGATGAAACCACTTTTTCTATGCCTTTTTTTACCGGGCGTTGTAATTTGCGTTCCTGTGGTTTGTGCGGTTTCCTGTTCTTTAAATATTTAGGAAATTAATCCTTGACTATCACCTGAAAAAGAAATGAACTGCATTAACCAATCCATTTATCGGAAATAGGAAAGGAAGGAACAAAACATAGCAATACTGAACTGTAGCAGCTGATACTCTTTTATAGACACATTGACGTCTTGAGTGACAATTTGGTTAAATGGCGGCTGTAGTTCACAATTTTGCCGCAGCTGTCAGTTCACAGATAAGTTGGTGGGACTATACTATCGATTAACGATGCGCGATTATTACTAAAACTAATCTAATTAGTTGAATGTTCAGTTTAGTCGATAATATTCGATAACAATCGACTAACGGCGTGCAGCGGACAAAAATGACTGACTCGGTTACCGTGTCAACTTTAACTACTAATTTGTAGCGCAGCGAATCTATTATACATACGAGGGGTGATCCAAAAGTAATGATAATCGGTTACTTCAGGTCCGCATAAAAATCCAAAAAAAATATTTTTGCTTGCTTATATACTCACTACGTCAGCCTAAAAAAATCATATAAATAGATCACGATTTCCGGGAGATACATTCATTTGAATACGAACTGTCAAAGAGATAACATCAACATGGAGAAAAACGAAATTAGAGCTGTCATCAAGTACCTCTGTTTGAAAAAAAAATTCTTCAAAAGATATACACAGTGACTTAGTGGAAACATTGGGGGACTCTGCTCCTTCATATTCTACAGTTGCACGCTGGGCCAAGGAGTTTAAACTGGGCAGAACATCCACTGAAGATGAACATCGCGAAGGACGCCCATCCACGTCCCTCACTGAAGACAACGTGAAAAAAGTCGAAGATGTTGTGTTGGCAGATCGAAGAGTGACCATCAGGCATGTAGCTGAGGTCACAGGGATCTCATATGGCAGCGTTCAAAGAATCCTTGCTAACGAGTTGCATATGAAAAAGGTCTCTGCGCGTTGGGTACCCAGAATGTTAACCGACGAGCAAAAGAAAAATCGAGTTGACATTTCGAGGGACAATCTCGAAAAGTTCCAAGCAGATCAAGAAAATTTTTTGTTCCGTTTTGCGACTATGGACGAGACCTGGATCCACCATTTTGATCCTGAAACGAAACAACAATCGATGACTTGGAAGCGAGCCTCCTCACCGGCGCCAAAGAAATTCAAAGTTTCAAGTTCGGCGGGAAAGGTTATGGCATCTGTTTTTTGAGACGCTCAAGGCATAATTATGGTGGAATATTTGGAAAAGGGAGCCACTATTACGGGCTCTTACTACGCAGACAAAATTAGAAGATTACGGGAGGCCATTAAGGAAAAAAGACGCGGCAAACTGCGAGCTGGAGTGCTGTTTCACCAAGACAACGCACCGGCTCATAAAGCCGCAGCTGCAATGGCTGCCATCCAAGAAACGGGATTCGAACTGCTCGAACACCCTCCCTATTCGCCAGATCTAGCTCCTAGTGATTTCTACCTCTTTCCTCGGCTCAAGGAACGCCTCCGAGGCAAGAAATTCGAAGACGATAGCGAAGTAATGGCCGCTGTTGAAGGGTTTTGGGAGGGTCAAGACAAAGAATTTTTTTTAAAGGGAATCCTGGGTTTAGAAAAAAGATGGACTAAATGTATTGATTTGTTAGGAGACTATGTAGAAAAATAAATTATTATTTTAACTTTAATTACCGTGTTTTATTTTCATTATCATTACTTTTGGATCACCCCTCGTACTACTAAATAATTATTTCTACTGTCGCCCAGTCATTAAATGTCTTGCGACTGTTTCTGGAGAATGTTTTAGAAGTGAATGTTTTATTAAATTCATTGTTTATAAGGATAAATAATTCTCTATATAAATAGCCTGCATTGTTCTTATAAGAAAGCGATCGAAGATTTTTTACCATATTACTTTTAAATCTCTCCAGGCGTTTCTCATTAATAGGAACAAATACAATTTTCTCAATTACCTGTTTTTTGTGCATATAAGGTAACGAAACCAGTTGTCCATAGTGATCTGAACTAAGTTTTTGAATTATTGATTTGTTGATTGGTACAACACCTGTAATAATATTATCAATACAAGTTGCACTACACCCTGCAATACGTGTAATTTCAAAGAATAAATTATCAAGACTATAGGATTTGAACAAAGAGCAAAATTTAATACAGATGGAAGAAGTTTCCAGGAGATTGATATTAAAATCATCACACACTACAAGACATTTATTCTGTTTATTAAGCTTAACTAAAACTTGTAATATACAAGTAAAATATTTTGTATTAAAATGTATTTACCAAGTGCATGCAAATTATCAACAACTTAACTTTTTTCTTTGCAAAATATCAAAATTAACAAAATAATTGAAAATATTAGATATTTTACACAGTATATAACACAAATTTTATCCAAAAATAAACGCGTCATAACATTGACGACGTCTTCAGAATTTACCTGTGAAAGGTGCAATTATCAGGATTATT